GGATGGACGGATGGACAGGTGGACGGATGAACGGTTGTAGGGATGGATGGGGGAAGGGAGCGAGGGAGGGAGGGATGGTGGAAGGGAGGGAGGGAGGGATATGGGTGTGTTTTTGACTGTCACCACGACAACCCTCTTTCCAGCCAGATGAGTAGATCCAAAATGAAACACCTCTACCTCACATATGTACCTGCAAAAAGAAGTGCACTTTGGGAGGCAAACGAACCAAATAGCAGACAACACGAAGCATTATGAAGTCGTTGTTTATCTTTTCCAGTGCAGTTCTTTCTTCTCTATCCTTTTCGTGGTTTCTCTTTTTATTCCTTCTTTCGGCTCCCCTTTACTGTCTCTCACATGCAAGGCTCATCACGTTGATGATCCTCATGTGCCATAAAGGCCCACTTGCATTCTAAGAAAAGGAGGCAGAGTAACGGGGGAGGGTGGAATATGTACACTCCTGTTGACTTTTCAGCACACCTGCATATAATCTTATGCCTGTTCTCCGCATAAGGCACATTAGTATGCATTCAGTAGTGCTACAAAATGGGAGGGAGGTAGGAGAAGGGGTAGGGGAGGGAGAAATTCTACATGAGGGGAGGGAGGAAGGAGAAGGGGAGGGATGAAGGAGAAGGGGAGGGAGGTGTTTGGATGCTTTGTGTTCCATGACTTCTGGAAGCAATGAACCGAACGCGGACCAGACCTGGGCCTCCCGTATCCAAATGGTGGAAACGGGAATCAGAAGCAGATGGCAGGGGACGAAGAGCAGACGGCACCATAGTTCGGTGAAGGCGGAGTTTAGGAAAAGAGTTTTCATCAGAGATTGGCTTTCAGTGGGAAGGTGGCTACAGTTGAAGATCACAGATTGACGTTTCGCTGCCTTCGATAGAAGGCAGCAAAGATAGCAGGACTCGACAGCCTTGGCCTGAACCAAGTCTGATGATTTTAGTGGTGGCAAGCTGACAGTTAATCCTCTTATTTGGCAACAATCAATGCTGTTCAGGGGTCCTTCAGGCAAACAGAGGGAAGTAAAGAGTACAGACTATGGTTGTAAGCGTTATTGACTTGCGGGGGAAATAGGAACCAGACTGATCCCCCCCAGAATGGAAAGGAGCCAGGATCATAAGGCCCTGCTATGGTAGAAAAAAGTTTCTGATGCTTGTCCATTTGCAATGGCAATTACACGGCACTATGCTCTTCTCCCTCCCATGATATTATTCCTAGTTTTTAACTCCCTCAAGCTCTCTTTGTTTGGCATTCCTTTTCTCTTCTCATGTGTAGTTAATGCACTTAAGGCTGTGTTCTCTCATGTTGTAAACCATTGTCTACCAACACAGGCAGAAATAAGTAAAGGACTCCGTTAGCTGAGCCGACTGCTGACAAATTACATTTGGAGGGAAAAAAACGAGCAGAGAACTTGTTTAGAAAACCACACCTGGAGTGTTCTCGCCTGGTGAAGCGACATTGTCATCTTGAAAGCCCTTTTTCTCAGAAACCTGCCATGAGCGACTGTTGAATTTGATGTCATGCTGAGGCTGACGCCTGCCCACAGTTTGGTCACAGAAGGTCGGACACGGGCAATTGCCTGGCGCCTGAGTGCTGCGCAGGTATCCATGCGATGTTCCGGCACAGCTTACAATGCAGCTGCATTGCTGATTTGTCTGGATATCATAACTCAAGGTATGATGGCAAATCTGGGGCCTCTTGTGGATGCTAGCAACACCGGGATGTCTGCGAGAACTGTGATTGTCTTCCATTACCAGTGGGGTAGAATCACCTGTTTGTGAGCCAATGTCATGGACGTGACTGTCACGAATGGGGGCCACACATTGCATACAGGCGTGGCCCCCGGTCTGCCCAATGAGATTAACCCCTGGGGATGACAGATAACAAGCTCTACTCCAGCTACAGCCTTGTGTCTTGTTGCCGGGGGAGTCGCTGTTCATCGCTTGTTTCTGGTGATCACATGTACATTCATGGTGATGATGAACACATGAACACAATCCATCGAAATGTCGATCACATAAGTCAACATGTTCAGGCGTAGAATAGCAAGAGTGGAAATCTGTGCTAGCAATGGGAGTCATTATCCCATGAAGAAAACAACATGGAAGGGTAGTCATTCGAGATAAATTGAGGGGAAGGGCATCTGGTCTGGTCAGGACCAGGTCATCTGCTGCATTCAGAAGTTGCTGCTCTCGTCTTTCATGCAGGCTCCGTGCTAGGAACAAAGGATTGACAATATCTGCTGTACATTTTTCTGCATATCTACAGCCATCATCACAGGAAGAGAGCCATGGAGGTTTGGGTGGAATGTCAGTTTCCTCATGAAGGTCCGAATTTGGTGACTGTGAATCGCCCAACACCTGAGCATTCATCCAAGTATCGCGAGTTCTGCAGCTCTTCCGTAGTAGGAAGCTTCTCCCCCTGCACTTGCAACGTGCTGCATTCCGTTCTGTGGATGCCAATGTTTCAAGTCCTAACGTAAACACAGGTGATGAGGCATGGTCAGGCCTGCTACGAATAACTGATTTCTCATGCTTCGTCATCCTGGCCTTGCAAATCACTCTCCCCTCAGTGCTGCTGGACTTGCATTGGGAATGCTGAAACTCTTTATTCGGATTGCCCACAATCTCAACATCATCCACTGATCTTGAGACAGAGCATCCCATGTGAGCTGCAATATGAACAGAAGGTGCAACACTGTGCTGACTGTTGCTAGAAGCCGCTTGTCCACAGGTTGACGGTTCGCCACCTCCAATGGGACCATTACCATGTGGGAACTGGGGCATGAGGCCATGTGGGCAACGGATGGACAAACACTCTTCGCGCATGCCAGATTTCACCTCTCGTCTTGCACAGGCAAACCCACTGTCGGCATCTGGAATTTCCCCCTTTGCAACTGAACATGGAGCACCTTCAACCACTCTGTCGCCTGATTTGAGAAGTGCGCTCTGCGATTGATGCAGTGATGCTTCGCTGATCTCTGGTGAAGAAAGCTTATCTGATTGCTTTCTGGAGCCCTTTGTTCGTCCCATGTTCCCATGTTTGCCCTGCAGCAAGGTCCTCTTATGACAAGTCATGCCTTGCCTGTCTTCAGAATCCTCACACCTGGCATTGCAGGACGTTCTATGTAACGACATTGTTCTTCCCTCAGCGAATCTGGGTACACTTTCAACAGAGGCATGAATAGTAGACCCTCTTCCCTCCTCTTGCATGTCTGCATTTCTACCATTTTGGACAGTTTTGTCCCACCGTGAAACCATGTTGCCCTGGTCAAAGCAACCCGCATCAGCTAAAGCCTGTTCCCTGCAGGCTCTGGATGCGTTCTCCCCATCTTCGGATACCTTGTTGCTGGTACCCAGTCCCTCTGTGTGTTCTCCTCGTTTCCTTTGTGAAATACTCCCTCCTGTTTGAAGCTGTGAGTTCTCATCATTCTTGCACACAACGCTCTTCTCATGACCTGTGTATACCCACTGCTCACCACCCACAAGCTTGTCATTGAACTTCAGTGATTGGGTACCACTATCGCCCACCACAGCTCCTTGCTCCGTTGTGCCATTTGCTTGCTTAATTCTGGGTGTTCTATCTGCTATGAACCCATCACGGTGATTCAAACTCGCATGCGTATGTACATGTTCTGATGTGATGGATCCTGATGATGCCCACGAAGTGCACACAGAAGCTGTGGGGCTGGAACTGAGAGAAAGGGATTGGATCACAGGATTCCTGACCCATGAAGTGCACGACAGGAGTGTCTTGTCTGAAAGTGAGGACTGAGAAGAGGGTGTGGGAGACAGAGGAGTGCATGGGGATAAGGGGGTTGTGCAGACCGCACCCTCACTGCATTGTCGATACTGCATTCCTCCCTCCTCCGTGATAGCATTGCTAATATTGTCGATCCTATGACCCTGTTGCAGGCTAGTACAAGGGTTAAACATCTGTGAGGGGGATAAGCACGTTGTTGGGCCCTTGCATGGTGATGCCCAAGGAGATCCAGATGCCAACAAAGCCTCCTCTGTTGCCGAGGTGGAACTTGAACTGAAGCCTGATGAAACACTGGTTGTGGAAGCCTCTCTGGAGCACCTATGGACGGAAGCTGAAGATGAACTCGTCCCTCCTGAACAGTGAGTGGAACTTACAGAAACACCCTGTGGTGATGGAACTTTCCATTCTTTTGACTGCAACTGATGGCTCCTGAGAATAATAGGAAACTTCCTTGATGCATTCATCAAGAGTGCACGTGCTTCCGCCTCTGCACACTTTCGATGACATCTCCGCGCAAATGAGACGGCATCCCAAAATCGTTTTTCCTCCTCCTGAGCAGTGTCTTGTTTTGTGCATCTATTGCCCATTCCACTGTCCAGTTTCTTATAGGTCTCTGCATCATCCTGTTTTCCTCCAGCAATTGTCTCCATTCTGATTGTGCTTGAGGCTTTACTACTTCTGCGGTTCAGAAGACCCACAATGCCTCCTGCAATGTCAGGTTGCCTGCAATACAGAGAAGGAAGGGTGACAGAAGATGCAGACCTTGTGACAAGTGCAACGGATCCACTGGCAGAATCAACATGAATAAAAGATACAGGACCACTGTCCGTAAATCGCACATCCAGATCGCCATTCTCCATCCTTGTTGCCTGTGCTTTCCCAGAGAGGTAGACCACCTGCCATTCAAGGGAGACACTTAGACTACTTGGTAAGGGGGAACCAACGAAATGCAGAACAAGAAAGAAAAAGATCATCATCATTCTGCAGAGTTGCCATGGAACAAAAGCAGAACGGTATGCCCTGTGAGAAGGTATTTTAATATCATCTTATGCATGTGGAGTGAGATATCATTCCGAGCACAGTGTCTGCCTGGAAAAGGCAGGGCAGGAGTGTTGTCATAGGGAAAGAAGAGGGCGGTTAGTGACTGAGTGGAGGGGGGGAAGGGGTTGGTAACTGAGTAGGGAGAGAGAGGGGAGGTCAGTGACTGTGTGGGATGCATGGGTGTGTATTACTGTGTACTACGTATAGCCATGCACGTTTTTCTGGCTGCCACAGTGCCATGGTTCATTTTCTGGCCCATGGATTTTTCCATCAGGCAGAGAGAGAGAGAGAGAGAGAGAGAGAGAGAGAGAGAGAGAGAGAGAGAGAGAGAGAGAG